GACCACCATTGAATTTCATGCTGTAAAACGCCGTGCAACCTCTCCCTCACAACCTGACCCCACTGATGCTGCTGCTGCTGCATAAACTGAACTAATCAAATTAATCATTGCTCCACCTGTTTACTTTATACTAACAATGTTTACTACCCGGTGTCGACAAGACCAGGATGGGTTCCCCTTCTGAGTCTTGGTTCCTCTCAAGGTTTCTTCCTGTTTCTCTTGGGGAGTTTTTCCTTGTCACTGTCGCCACTGGCGACGCTCATGGGGGCTCGGACCCGGATTTCTTTCTGTAATGTTGATTTTTCTGTAAAGCTGCTTTGTGACAACACCTGTTGTAAAAACCACTATATAAATAAACTTTGCTTGCTTGTTTGCTTTACACTCTCAGTGCCTGCGTTGGCTTCGCTCGGCTTGGGGAGCCGGCTGTGCAGTCCACAGCACTCTTGATATTTCCTGAGGGGGTTTCAAATCGCTAAAAACCGTATTACTGCAGGCAACACCAATGTTCAGCAAGAACTGCAGGCTATTTGCGATGTTTGCCTAGCAGTTTGTGATGAAAAGACTAATAACTAGTAAAAAGCGGATTCCAGAGAGACCCTGGGCTGCCGGCATTGTCGACGACTCCTCCCACCCCTCTTATGGATACTACACCCTCATACCATATGACAGAAAGTACCTTAGCATCCATTCCACCACTTACAGACTCTGTGACATCTTCCACAAAGAGATCAGATAATTTATCGCATTGATGCCCCAACATATGCCTGGATTAATCTAGACTCTTTTCAACTTCAACTTGGGCTAATTTACATCTTTTTGAACATCCACCTGGAGTAATCTACACCATTTCCAACATCCACCCGGACTAATTAGACCATTTCCATCATTCACCTGGCCTAATCTAGACCCTTTTCAACTTCCACTATAGACTAGTCACACCCTCTTTTACCACCACAACATGACTGCATTTTAATTTTTTTTATTTACACTCAATCTATCTGTACAGTTTACAGTTAACCAAGTTTGCACTGATTCCATCATCACTCATATACTACTTTCTGTCAATCCATGTATATATGTGTGTGTGTATACATATATATGAAGCCCACTTATAGATAATTCTTTGTTGTACTGTCTTGTATTTAGTGTCTTGTGCATTTACTGTAACTTACATTTATTGTCTGGAGTATTTATTTTATATCCCACATTTCACATTGTCCCGTTTCAGCACTTTATATAGTCTTGTGTATTGTACTGTTGTTGTGTGTTTGGTGCCTGAAGAATGGCATTAATTTCCAATGTGTAAAAGGGATATTGAGGAATGAAATGATCTGTTCAAAGACAGGAAAAGAAAGAACTACAGTAGTCACAGGAACAGAACTTCAAACAAGATCAAGGACATATTCCACAGAGGATAGCAAAAATTGAATGAAAAGAGAAACAGGAGACAGAAATAGCCTTAGGCAGAAAATGAAACAGCTTATTTATTGGATGATAGTAAACAAAGCAATTAAAAAGAAATATGTAAATACCACGAAGAAATGACACAAATTCTGTTCACATAACTGAGTGGATAATTGAAGTTCATGAGCATTCTTTGTTTAACTGTTGCAAAAGAAACAAAGATGGGCTGGGCTAGAGACGAGTCACTTAGTAAACAAGTAGACGTCACTGTTTGAGAAAGTATAAATATACACAAAAAAGATTTTCCTCACCATAGCATGACTGTAAGGTTGCAGTTCATCATTGCTTATATTTTCTAATAGATTACGGGTTACTTCATGGGAACTCATGGATAATTCTTGTAATGTTATATACTTGTTTATGGAGGGGCATTTAGAACTGCAGACGTACAGATATGTTTATTTTGTAATTACTCTGGCAGTTTATCTGTTAATTATTTGCTTTAACGCTGTTGTCATTTTTGTCATTTACACAAACAAATGTCTCCATGAGCCGATGTACATTTTCATTGCTGCTTTGCTTTTCAATTCACTTTTTGGAACGTCAGCACTTTATCCTAAACTAGTGAGTGATTTTCTGTCTGAAAGACCAGTTACTTCTTACTCAGCCTGTCTGTTTCAGGCCTTTTCTATTTACACATATGGAGTTTCAGAGTTTGCGCTGTTATCAGCTATGGCCTATGACAGATATGTGTCCATATGTAAACCATTACAATATACAACTCTTGTAAAAATGTCCACTGTGAAAAAACTCTTATTGTGCTGTTGGTTTGTTCCAGCCTGTGAAGTTGGCATATCCATAATACTAACATACCAACTTCAGCTGTGTAAATTTTATTTAGACAGAATTTATTGCAATGATTACTCAATTGCAAAATTAAGTTGTGGAGACACATCTTTTACAAATTTATATGGACTGTTTTCTGTAACTCTTACTGTATTTCCAGCACTGATCTTCATTATCTACTCATATGCTCGAATCCTTGAAGTCTGTTTAAAGAATTCAAAAGATTTCAGAAGAAAAGCTCTGCAGACCTGCTTCCCACACCTTTTGATTTTCATCAGTTTCTGTGTTTCCTCCTGCTTTGAGGTGATTAGCACCAGATTAGAAGGAAATATACCTCATATTATTTCTGTGATAATGCCAGTTATAAGTTCGGCCATTCCTCCTCTTATTAATCCTGTTATCTATGGTTTAAAACTGCAAGGAATTTACAGTAAAATCAAGAAAATGATGCAGAAAAGAAAGATACATAGGTCTTTTTAATTGTTTTCCTTTAAACTTTTACATGATTCTTCTTATTCTGAATGCCATGAGATCCAAAAATATATTATTTGTTTTTTACTGTTTCTTTCCAAAATGTTGAACATTGGTGTTATGCATATTTATATATCTTGTCATGTCACTATTAAATTTTGTACAAAACTAGGAAATATAGAATATATACACTGACCATTAAAACATGTTGCTTTCTTTTTTTTTATCCAAAAGAAACATGTAACTTTAACCGTATTAACAAAAGAAAGCTGGTGAACTTTGACTATAAACACAGAAACCTATGCTTTAGTCATTCATTACAGCTGGAAGGTACACCTGGCTTATTATTATATAAATAATCTATATAAATCGTAGATTGCAACTTTAAATGACATGATTTTAAATCATTAATGTGTTTTGGAGCACTTAAATCTGTTCCTTTTATTTGAGAAGGGCATCAGGTCTGCCATATCAGTCAGAGGGCAGAACAGAGTATAAAAACAGGATACTGAAAACAAATTTAAATGGTAAAATTAATTGTGATATAGTGAGATTATCATCCTTGCTTGATTTACCTAACCAGAAATACATAGTCATGCATGTTAAAGACATACAGTTTTAGGTTTTGGGTGGACTTTTCTATGTACTGATCTTCATATGCTGGACCAAAAAAGCTGCATGCATTATTCCTTCACTAATCCTTGGATAAAATCACCTTTCTTTAATAACAGTGTGAATCCTGTCAGGATTATATTAGAAGAGTCTTTTTGAGAGTTCCTGTCCATTCTAGTCCACTCTTCCACCAAATTTGTTAGACTGAATTCCAAACAGGACATAAGATTTACATTTTTACAAGTATATTGTAGTATAGAGGGCATTTAAATGTATTTGTCATTTATTAGTTTAATCTCAATGTAGATTAAAAAAAAAATCAGAATCAGACTTTATTGGCCAGGTGTATTTGTAGATCATAGGACTTTGTATACAGTAGTGAAATGTTTCAAACTACTAACCAGATTTCTAATTTCAGATTTCTAGCAGTAATTCTAATCTAATTCCTACCACATTTATAAAGTAATATAGGCATCCTAACCTAGTTTTACCACATTTACTCCGTAATAGATATCCACACCTGACTTCTACTACACTCATACCTTAATTAAGACATCCCTACCCAATTACTTAGACTGTAACATAAAACTCAGGTAGATGCCGCTTGTATGCCAATCTATATATATATATATATATATATATATATATATATTGGGACACTGTGAATAATGTAAATGAAAACAAAATGCAATGATGTGCAAATCATTTAAACACTAAATTTCATTGAAAATAGTACAAAGACAATATATCAAATGTTGAAACTGAGAAATTTAATTGTTTTTTGAAAAATATATGCCTATTTTGAATTTGATGCCAACAACATGTTAAAAAAAAGGTTGGGACGGGGCAACAAAAGGCTGATAAAGTTGTGTAATGCTAAAAAAAACATGGTTGATTGGCAACAGGCGAGTAACATGATTGGGTATAAAGAGCATCTCAGAGAGGCGGAGTCTTTCAGAAGTAAAGATGAGGAGGGGTTCACCACTCTGTGAAAGACTGCACCATCAAATAGTGCAACAATTCAAGAATAACGTTTCTCAACTTAAAACAGCAAAGAACTTTTGCTTTTCATCATCTACGATACATAATATCATTAAAAGATTCAGAGAATCTGGAGAAATCTCTGTATGTAAGGGACAAGACCAAAAACCAGCATTTGCTCGCCGTGATCTTTGGGCCCTCAGACAGCACTGCATTAAAAACAGACTGAAAAACACTGTGAAAACAGTTCATCACTGCATCTACAAATGCTAATTAAAACTCTTAAATGCAAAGACAAAACCATATATAAACAGGATTCAGAAATACTGCCACCTTCTCTGGGCCTGAGCTTATTTAAAAAGAACTGAGAGGAAGTGGAAAAGTGTCCTGTGGTCTAATGATTTAACATTTTAATTTCTTTTGGAAATCATGGACACTGTGTCCTCCAGGCTAAAGACCACTCAGCTTGTCATCAGTGCACAGTTCAAAAGCCAGTATTCATGATGGTATAGGGGTGCATTAGTGCACATGGCATGGGTGACGTGCACATCTGTGAGGGCACCATTAATGCTGAATGATATATACATGTTTTGGCAACATATGCTGCATCCAGACGACATCTTTTTCAGGAAAGACCTTGCTTATTTCAGCAAGACAATGCTAAACCACATTCTGCATGTATACATATGTATGTATATGCAATGTGTACATACGTAGATGTATAAGATGCCCACTCATATATAATGCTTTGTTGTACTGTCTTGTATTTACTGTCTTGTGCATTTACTCTTATTTATATTTATTGTTTGGAGTATTCAGTTTATATTCCAGACTCATTTCACATTGTCGTATTTTAGCACTTTATATAGTCCCATGTAATGTGCTGCTGTTGTGTGTTTGGGGGCTGAAGAATGGCATTTCTTTCCAATGTCTTAAAATATATTGTGGAATGGCATTAAGACCACTTTACATTACATTACTTGATTTGGTAAAGTCTCTTTATTATGGACACAAAAAATGGACCTGAATGAATACCAGAAACAGTACCAGCATCACAAAGATGAACAAGGCCTAAATTGGTGACTGAAATAGAACAAAAACATGTACAGGATCAGACCCTAAAGCACGGAAAAGAACATAGAACAATCTGTTCATAGACAGAAAAAAGAAGTAAACCAGTTGCAGAAACAGAACTTTAACCAAGATAAAGGACCTTCCACAGAGAAAAGGAAATAAAGTAATGAGACAGGAACAGAAATAGAAAAAGGTTTCAGGAGACAGAGAGACTAAAAGAGTCTGAAACACTTTTAGTTATCTGTTTAAAATAATCAAATAAATTTATAAAGTATATATACTAGTGAGAAATGTTCCTTAGTTAATTCAATGGATATGTGCAGTTCACAAGCATCCTTTGTTTAACCGTTGCAATAAAAACGAAAGTGGGCTGAGCTAGAGACAAGTCAGTAAACAATTAGGTGTCATTATTTGAGAAAGTATAAATACACACAAAGCCATTTTCCTCATCATGGCATGACTGTAAGGCTACAGTACATCATTGCTAATGATTTCTAGTAAATGATGCCTGATTCAAGTAGAACGTTACTATGACCAGCATCGGATCTTACAGACAAATCTAATATGATAGAGATTCATGGGTTACTTCATGGGAACTCATGGATAATTATTCTGATGTTTTGTACTTGTTTATGGATGGGCATATAGAACTGCAGACGTACAGATATTTTTATTTTATAAGTACTCTCACAGTTTACCTGTTGATTATTAGTGTTAACGCTGTTGTCCTTTTTGTCATTTACACAAACAAATGTCTCCATGAGCCGATGTACATTTTCATTGCTGCTTTACTTTGCAATTCACTTTTTGGAACGACTGCCCTTTATCCTAAACTGCTGAGTGATTTTCTATCTGAAAGACCAGCTACTTCTTACTCAGCCTGTCTGTTTCAGGCCTTTTCTATTTACACATACGCTGCATCAGAGTTCACGCTCTTATCAGCTATGGCCTATGACAGATATGTGTCGATATGTAAACCGTTACAATACGCAAAACTTGTAAAAATGTCCACTGTGAAAAAGCTCTTATTTTTCTGTTGGTTTTTTCCTGCTTGTGAAATTGGAATATTAATAATACTAACATCCCGACTTCGGCTGTGTAAATTTAATTTAGACAGAATTTACTGTAATGATTACTCAATTGCAAAATTAAGCTGTGGAGACACATCAGTTACAAATTTATATGGACTGTTTGGTTTAATTATTACTGTATTTCCACCAGTGATCTTCATAATCTACTCATATGTTAGAATATTTGATGTCTGTTTAAAGAATTCAAAAGAGTTCAGAAGAAAAGCTCTGCAGACCTGCTTCCCACACCTTTTGATTTTCATAATTTTCTCTTTTAACTCTTGCTTTGAAGTGATTAACACTAGATTAGAAGGAAATGTACCTCATATTATTTCTGTGATAGTGCCAGTTGAAAGTTTCGTCATTCCTCCTCTTATTAATCCTATTATGTATGGATTAAAACTGCAAGAGATTTACAGTAAACTCAAGAAAATGATGTGGAAAAGGAAGATACATACATCTTTTTAGTTGTTTTCCTTTAAACCTTTACATGATTCTTCTTACTGTGTATGCCATGAGATCCAAAATATAAAACATTATTTCTGTATTTTTTCCTATTCTTTCAAAAAAAAAATGTAAACAGATTTATCAGCATACCATACCACCACATGAGAAAATATATGTATATTTATATATATATACCACAAAACTAGAATATATATTTGTCTTAGAAAAGAAAAATCTATAAACACAGAAACCTATGCTTTAGACATTAATTACACCTCGAACGTACAACTAGCTACTTATACAAAATCTTTACAAATCACAGTATTTAAGTTTTAAACATCATTCATATGTTTTTAAGCTGTTAATTGTATTCCTTTTATTTCATAAAGAGGTCCACAATATCACAGACTCTAAATACAGGATATTGATGACAAAATTAAACTGTCAACTGAACTGTGGTACAATAAGATTCACATTTTTCTGCTGGGTCAGTGAGGTGAGCTTGCTTTACTCAACCACAAGGCTGTAGATTAATATATATTAAAGGTGTACAGCATTAGTTTTCAGGTGTTTTACTGTAGGATAGGTCCTTTAATATGATCCCACTCTATAACCTAATCTGAATCTAAAAACGTCATAAATACTAAAATAAAAAATACTACAATATTTTCCTTCAGTCGTATGCTTATTTACGTATCTTGTCAAGTCACTGTTACACCATGAATCAAAAATCTTTTTCCAGCTCTCCAGCTCATACAGACACCTCAGTTTTAGTGCCTGCATAAGTGCCCATTTATGTGTACTGATCTTTATGAGCTGGACAAAGAATTTAATAACAACTCTCACTGACAGAAAAGATAATTGTGTGATAATGCTGTTCATAGTTTGGTGTTCTACTAAGTCATGTCACAGCAATATATTGGAAAGCTGGGCCTGAACACCTCCCTCTGCAACTGGATCCTGGACTTCCTAACTGGGAGACCTCAGTCTGTCATGATGGGCATGATAATCTCCAGCAGTGCTACACTGAGCACTGGTGCTCCTCAGGGCTGTGTGCTCAGTCTCTTGCTTTTTGCAATGACTCATATAGATGCTACAAGGCAGAGCTCAAATAATATCTGGAAATTTACTCATTATACTACAGTCTTATCATCAACAATGATGACTCAGCAAACAAGAAGGAAGTAGAGCAGCTTGCAGGCTGGTGCAGAGAGATCAATTTATCTCTGTGTTAATGAGATGAAAAAGAAGATTGTTGACTTCAGGAGAACTCTTGCTCAGAATTCTCCACAGCACAGCAATAGTTAAATTGTGGAGAGAGTCAAAAACTCCAAGTTCCTTGGTGTCCACATCACAGATGACTTCACCTGGACCTTTAAGACCACCTGCCTGACCAAGAAAGCCCAGCAGAAACTTCACTTCATGCGATATATTAAGAAAGCAAACTCCTCTCTTCATCTTGAGTAATCTAGACCCTTTCCAACATTCACTTGGTGTGGCAGTGGAGAAGCAGAGCCACCACCTAGCCCTAAACACATGAAGTGTGCTCCTCCTCTGATTTAGCGCAACTGTGCATGATCAGAGGAGGAGCACACTTCATGTGTTTGATTCTTTAAAATCTCTCTTTCCAGCATGAGAGGGGAGCACGTTGACCTGCATGCCTCATACCAGAAGAGAAAGCAAAAGAGACAGAAAGAGAGAAAAGAACTCTTTAAAGTAAGGCTTTGTCATTTAGTCATTTAGTTTTGTGTTGTTAGTTTACCACAGATAACTAAGTAAAGCACTTTGTTTCACTCATGTTGGTTTGTATGTGTGTGTCTCTCATTGGGTTTCCCAGTCAGTGTGCTTTAACCCCTCCCCTGGCTGTGTCTCATTCATGGAGATTGCGGGCACCACCCCTTTCTGGGCAGGTCCTGTGACTGAAAGCCAAGCAAAGCTCAAAGGCACGCTGCAACTCTGGCACGCAATTTTCATTTGCGCTGGTGTTTGTGCGTGTGTCTCTGAGCTGTCGTTGGGTTTCCCAGTCAGTGTGCGTTGGCCCCTCCTCTGGCAATGCCACACTGGACTAATGTAGACCCTTTTCAACTTCCACTCTAGACTTGCTCCACCATATAGACACTTAAACCATATTTAGTGCTAACCAGGAATTATAAAAAAAAAAAACCCTCAGGTGATTGCCTTGTTTGAAAAGTTTCTTGTTTACTTACCTGAATTTTGGTGCCTGGTTATTATTTACTGATATAAGTGCACCTTTCTGTATACTGATCTATGTTCTCTGCATAGGAAGACCAGCCAAGATCGAATTGCAGTAGTCAAGCCTTGAGATGACAAGAGACTGAAAGAGCACCTGGGGGGCCTCTTGAGTGAGAAAGGGTCGAATCCTCCAGATGTTGTACAAGAGAAACCTGCATGACCAAGTTGAGAACAATAATTGGCCATCCAGAATCACACCAAGACTTCTTGCATCTTCAGACAGAATGATCAGAGAGTTCTCGAATGAGATTGCACGATCATGATGAGGACCTGTAGTTGCAGGAATGAATAGCAGCTCAGTCTTGCTAGGATTGAGCTTCAGGTGCTGAGCTGCCATCCATGAAGAGATGTCAATCAGACATGCTCAGATGAGACTGGAAACCTGAGACTGGCTGATCTAGCTGCCTGGAGCTTCTCAGTCATTGCTATATAGGCAGTTTCTGTTGAGTGCGCCGGTTTGAAGCCAGACTGATTGGGGTCCTGGAGCTGGTTCTGTGTGAGAATGAGAGACAGTTGATTATAGACTGTATGTTCGAGAATTTTTGAGAGGAAAGAAATGAGTCAGTCTGTAGCTCTTGACATCAGAGTTGTCAAGCATGGGCTTCTTCAGGATGGGTATGACTCTTGCAATCTTGAAAGTTGATGTAACCTGACCTGATGACAAGGAGTTGTTTATGAGAAAGGTGATGAAGGGCAGTGGATCCACGGAGATTGACTGGAGCAATGTGGCTGGGATGGGATCCAGTGGGCAGGTGGTGGGATTACTGGACTTGATCAGTTGTAGGACATCCACTGTGGAAAGAGAAGAAAAACAGTTTAGAAGATTGAGAGCAAGAGGGAGAGGTCTAGTGGAAGGAGTGGAGACAGAGGGAAAAGTGTCCCTCTGTAGAAAGATAACTTTGCAGCAGTAACTTAAAGTGAGAACTTAGAAAGGAGAGATTGGTAGGAGCGAAGACCGGAGTCAAGTTGTGATTTCCTTCATCTTCTCTCGGCCTTCCTTAGCTCTTGTTGGTTGCTGCGCAGGACACCTGTCAGCCAGGGGGCAGGTGAGGAGGATCTTGCTGATCTGGAGGAGAGAGGACACATCTGTAGGTGTGTCCAGTAAGAGAGATGAAAGTGGTATGGACAGGAGTAGCAGGGAGGAAGAGTGTGAAAGATAGAAAGTGGTGATCAGAGCAGTGAAGGGGAGTTACTGTGACATCCAGCACAGAGGTAGGTCTGCTGAATGTCAGGTCCAGAGCATTGCCTGCTCTGTTCGAGTTTGTTTGAGGGTGAGGTCAAAGGATGATAGCAGCAGCAGGATGACTGCAGCTTGTCCGATGGAAGGTTGAAGTGGGGTGAGTGGGGTTCCATTGATGGGGAAGAGACTCAGAAGAATATCTAACTCATCAATAAAGTTGCCTAGAGAAGAGTGAGGATGATAAAGCAAAATGATGTGAAGTTTAGTGGGGAAAGATACAGTGACAACATGGTACTCAAAAGAGGAAATTGAAAGATGAGAAAAAGGGCTCCCGAGTGGCGCAACCGTCTAACCTGTCATCAGGAGATCGTGAGTTCGATCCCTGGTGATGCTACAGCCGTCCGTAGCCGGGAGTCCAAGAGAGCACAATTGGCCTCGCTCTCTCTGGGTGGGTAGGATGGCCCCTCCTTCTCCCGCCATCACTCAACACAATGATGTTGCATGAGCGGCAGCTTCACAGGACTCGGAGAAAGCCTGCGTTAGCCTTCACCCTCCTAGCGCCCATAGTATCGTGTGGTTGGGGGGGTCCTAACTGACTGGTGGAATTGGAGAAGACTAAATTGGGGAGAAAATTGGTTTAAAAAAAAAAAAAAGAAAGAAGAGAAAAAGCAAGTGGAGTGAAATGCCACTTTCTAGACAAAAGCAAACCTGTGCCACCAAAGTGAAAGGCAGAGGACAGGGCAGCTGGAGTCGCTGAGTTCTTGGGGGTAACCCAGGTCTCCATCAAGGCCAGAAAGTGCAATGAATGGAAGGATGCTAGGGCTGAAATGAGGTCTGGCTTCTGCACTGCAGATTGGCAAATCCAGAGCCCACCTGTCACCCTGGTCTGAAATTCTGATGACCGTAGGGGATAGATAAGGTTAATGGAATTGCGGCTCCTGCAACGATGAATGGTTCCAATCATTGAGATGTCCTACACTTATACAGTAACACGGATTTTCCATTCTTGAGTTCTACCAAATTTATACAGTAACACAGACATTCGCACATAAGTTATACGACATTTATATAGTAATACAGACATCCATACCTGAGTTCAATTTCATGCAAAATGATTAACTAATTTATTTTTAATGTATTAAACTATTATTTTGTTGCATATTTATTTACACTGGGGACAAAAATATTTTGGATGATGCACAAATATGTTAAGCCATAGATTTCCTGAATTTATCATTATATATTCATTTTTTCCTGCCGCATCATTACGGATTAAAAAAAATAAAGAGCACAGCATGCAACCTAACAGCGCTCAGCCCCTAAACAACAACAACAACAAAAAAATGGTAATATTGCATTTTGTTAAACATGTTTAACAGGCTGTGTGCAAGTCACTGAATTTCCTGCAGATGAATGTATTGGTGATTAGCTTATAATTTGTGGTAACCTACGTCACCTCCAAGTAGACATTACGCAGAATATAGAGATGTGTTAATACTTAATGATTACCTTTATTAGGCTATTTGTGTCTGACTCAGTGTTTTATTAAAGTTTACACTTTGTTATCTCCTAATGTTTTAATTGTTAGTCCATGCATTAATTTACTTTGATGAAAGTATTAGTCAAGGATTAATTCATGCTTATTTGTGGACCAGTATTATAGTGTTACCAAAAATGTAATTGGACAGTAATAGAAGCAGGTTTCAAAAGACAAAGATTAAATACTCTTGGACAGAGAATCCAAGTGCAATCTATTTATTGGATTATAGTGATTAAAGGCATTTAAAAAATAAATATACCACCAAGAAATGACAGTTGTCCTCAATTCAGTGCATATCTGCAATTCATAAGCAATAATTCTTTGTTTAACTGTTGCAATAGAAGCAAAAGAGGGGCTGGGCTACAGACTAGTCAATTAATCAGTAAACAATTAGAGGTCACCATATGAGAAAGTATAAATACACACAAAGCCATTTTCTCCATCATAGCATGACTGTAAGACCACAGATTATGATTGTTTATATAATTTCTAATAGAGCATCCTTGATTAAAGTAGAATGGTACTGTGAAATACTGGCACCACATCTTACAGACAAATCTAATGTGTTAGAAATTGATGAGTTATTTCATGGCAATTCATGGATAATTCTTCTGATGTTACATACTTGGTAATGGAGGGGCATGTAGAACTGCAGACGTACAGATATGTTTATTTTGTAATTACTCTGGCAGTTTATCTGTTGATTATTTGTTGTAATGTTGTCATTTTTGTCATTTACACAAACAAATGTCTCCATGAGCCGATGTACATTTTCATTGCTGCTTTACTTTTCAATTCACTTTGTGGAACAGCTGCACTTTATTCTAAATTAATGAGTGATTTTCTGTCTGAAAGACCAGTTACTTCTTACTCAGCCTGTCTGTTTCAGGCCTTTTCTATTTATACATACGGAGTTTCAGAGTATGCACTGTTAACAGCTATGGCCTATGACAGATATGTGTCCATATGTAAACCACTACAATATGCAACACTTGTAAAAATGTCCACTGTGAAAAAGCTCTTATTTTTCTGTTGGTTTTTCCCTGCTTGTGAAATTGGAATATCAATAATACTAACATCCCAACTTAAGTTATGTAAATTTAAAATAAACAGAATATACTGTAATGATTACTCAATTGCAAAACTGAGCTGTGGAGACACATCAGTTACAAATTTATATGGACTGTTTTCTGTAACTCTTACTGTATTTCCAGCCCTGTTCTTTATAATCTACTCATATGTTAGAATATTTGAAATCTGTTTAAAGAATTCAAAGGAGTTCAGAAGAAAAGCTCTGCAGACCTGCTTCCCACACCTTTTCATTTTCATCAATTTCTGTGCTCTCTCCTGCTTTGAGGTGATTAGCACCAGATTAGAAGGTAATATACATCATACTATTTCTGTGATAGTGCTAGTTGTAAGTTTTGCCATTCCACCTCTTATTAACCCTCTTATGTATGGATTAAAACTGCAAGAGATTTACAGTAAAATCAAGAAAATTATGCAGAAAAGGAAGATACATACGTCTTTTTAAATGTTTTCCTTCAAACTTTTAAATGATTCTTCTGATTTTGAATGAGATCCGAAAATATATATATTTTTTTGTGTATTTTCCTGTTTCTATTCAAAATGTTGAAAATTTGTGATATGCATATTTATGCATCTTGTCATGTCTCTGTTAAATTTATATCAGCATAAAATACCACTGCATATAAAACTAGAATATCTACACTAACCATTAAAAACAATTACAGTGTCCTGCAGAGGCTGTTCCTTTCTTTACTTTATTCACACTTAATGCGAAAGCTGTTTAACTGCATTAACAAAAGAAAGCTATTTGTTTAACTGCATTAACAAAATAAAGCTATTTGAGAAAGGCATAAGCACCACCACATCAGTCACAGAGCAGAACCGACTGTAAAAACAGGATACTGAAAACAAATTTAAGCTTAACTGGGATACAGTAAGATTCTTATACTTCTTCCGAGTCAGTGAAGTGAGCTTGCTTTAGCCAACCAGAAGGGTATATGGTCATGCATGTTAAAGGCATACAGTATTGGGTTATGCTTATTTTTTGCTCATTTAAGTGCACCTTTCTGTGTGCTGATCATTATAAGCTGGACAAAAGAACAGTTGCATGCATTAATCCTTCTTTAATGCTTGTTAAGGAACACCCTTTCCTTAAATACAGAGTGAATCCTGTCAGGAAAATGTTTTAAAAAAGTTTCTCTGAGAGAGACCTTGTCCATTCTAGCTCATGCTTCCATTAAATTTGTTAGATTAAATTCCAAGAAGAACACAAAACTGACATTCCCACATTTGGTGAATAAAAATATATTGTAATAAAAAGCTAAATTAAACATATATTCTGTTTAATTTGTTCGATATTAGTTAGTTTAGTCTAACACTGGCCATAAAACAGAATCAGGCTTTATTGGCCAGGTATGTTTGCAGAACATAGGACTTTTTATACAGTTACAAAGTAACTGACAACAGAAGTTTCATATTCATAATAATTATCTAAATCTAATTTCTGCCGTGTTCATAAAGTAACATCCATACCTGAGTTCTACCTCATGTATGCAGTAATACAGGCTGAACTTATACTGAACTTATACAGTAACTGACATCCACACATAGTTCTACCACAGATATAACTTAATATAGACATCCATGCCTTATAACAACTACACTTATACTAAAAGAAAAAAAAAAAAGTGTTCTTTTGTACAAGCATCAGGAGTGCAGTCTGAGGATACCAGGCCAGCCACGGAGCCCAGTTAGGCAGGAGACTGTAAAGCTGGCTACAAAGGACTGTAGGAGGCCGGCGTTGGAACAGGAAAGTAAAAATAGCTGCACAGATTACTATAGGAAAACTAGAGTTGCTAAGACCTCAGCCATATGCATAAGGACAGGAGTGACTGAACCTTCAGCCACAGGCAAGAGTACAGGATCCTCTAGGCCTTCAGCTACAGGTCAGAGAACAGAAGCGACTGAATCTACAGCCACAGGCAGGAAGACAGGAAAAGCTGGACCCTTAGCCACAAGTAGGAAGGGAAGACGACTAGGCCTTCAGCCACAGGAAGTACTACATGAGCAGCAGGGAATGAGGTGCAATGAAACCCAGTACTGGCAAAATATGGTCACCTACCCTGCTGTAATAGTCTGCACTCTCATTACTTTACCAGCAATGTGCTTGGTAACAAGTGCTGGAGCTTAAGTGATATAAACTTACAAAAAATTTCTTTGGGTTTCTTCATCTCCTCTGGCAGAAGTTTAAGGCAAACTGGTGGAGGTCCACGAACTTGGCCAGAGAGTGAGTAGCATCATTCTGAAAAGCCCACATGTAGTCCGTCCACTTCAAGGCAGGACTTCATATTAAAGAAGATTCAAAAACCACTCAGAGTGGAATGACCCATAGTGATGGACTAAAAACTGCCACTTACTCACAAACTTGTGACACCTCTTAGGCGTACCGTCAACCTTCTGGGAAAGTACAACAGTGATTGCCGGGCTTGGTGGTGGCCATGAGGGGTATGCTATTTGATACAAACTTCATTGGCTGGCTCTCGGAACGAGTAGTGGATGGGTGGGGCCGCGATACTGGCCGCTACACCCACGAGGGAAAGAGAGCACCTGGTGCTGCCAAAATGGGGCTGGAGCACATGGTGTTCTCCACTACAGGCATCAGGTGCATGTGGTGCACCGATGGGAAGAAGGAGCTCTGATGCTGCTGTCTGCTCCCTGAGGACTATGACAGTGTGGAGTGGGTCTTTGGTTTTGGGGAAGTCGACCGCCCTGTGTCTCCCACCTACTGCCTCCCAACCATCGTGGAAGGCCTTGCTCTTTTCTGCCCAGATGTGATGTCTGCCACTTCATCCTGCCCAGCTGCATGCGTTGACAGCTCCACCTGGTGTCCTGGAGGACAACAGGGAAACCCTGCATGTGTTGACAGCACTGCCAGGTGTCCTGGAGCAGCCATTTACCACGCCACCTTGTGTCCTGGAGGACACTGTGAAACCTGCTTTGCTGAGAGCACTGTCTGGCATCCCAGAGGGTGCCCAGGAGCAGCTGCCCCTGTCGACAGCAGCATCTGGCATTCTAGAGTTAACAAAGTTTGCACTAGAGTTTCAAGTTAACAATGTTTGCACTAATTCCTGCTGTTGTGTGTTTGGGGCTTGAAGAAGGACATTTATTTCCAATGTGTTAACTTTATATTGAAGAATGAAAGTAAAGAACATTTTACATTAATTCATATGGAAAAAGATCTTAATCAGGGACACAAAAAATGGACAGGAATCAAGAACAGAAGCAGTACTATCATCATGAAAAGGAACAGGGCCTATGTCCAGGAATGAAAAGGACAAAAAGCATGAACAGAAACAGAATCTAAAGCACAGAAAGGAACATAGTACAATCTGTTCATAAACAAAAAAAAAAAAAGTGAATCAGTTGCAGAAACAGAACTTTAAAGATCAAAAAAGATCTTTCCACAGAGGAAAGAAAAAAGTAATGAAACAGCATTGGAAATAGAAACAGGTTTCAGGAGAAAGAGAGACAAAAACAGCCTTGGATAGAGAATAAAACAGCATATTCTATTTATCTGATTGCAGTGATCTAAAATTTACCAAAAGCTCACACTACTGAGACATGTTAAAAATGTGTCAGTGGATATTTGCAGTTCACAAGCATGCTTTGTTTAATTGCTACAGTAGAAAAAAATGTGGGCTGGGCTAGAGACTAGTCACTTAGTTAGTAAACAATTAGACGTCACTATTTGAGAAAAGTATAAAAACACACAACAGCCTGACTTTAAGACCGCAGTTCATCACTTGTAATAGATTATTGCTGGTTGAAGTAGAATGTTACTGTGACCAGCATCAGATCTTACAGACAAATCTAATGTGTTAGAGATTTATGGGTTACTTCATGGGAACTCATGGATAATTCTTCTGATGTTACGTACTTGTTTATGGAGGGGCATATAGAACTGCAGAAGTACAGATATTTTTACTTTATAATTACTCTGGCAGTTTATCTGTTGATTATTTGTTGTAACACTGTTGTCATTTTTGTCATTTACACAAACAAATGTCTCCATGAGCCGATGTACATTTTCATTGCTGCTTTGCTTTTCAATTCACTTTTTGGAACGACTGCCCTTTATCCTAAACTGCTGAGTGACTTTCTATCTGAAAGGCCAGTTACTTCTTACTCAGCCTGTCTGTTTCAGGCCTTTTCTATTTACACATATGGAGCTTCAGAGTTCACACTGTTATCAGCTATGGCCTATGACAGATATGTGTCGATATGTAAACCATTACAATATGCAACTCTTGTAAAAATGTCCACTGTGAAAAAGCTCTTATTTTGTTGTTGGTTTGTGCCTTCCTGTGATATTGGCATATCAGTAATATTAACATACCAACTTCAGCTGTGTAAATTTAAATTAAACAGAATATACTGTAATAATTCTGCAATTGCTAAATTAAGCTGTGGGAACATATCTGTTAGCAATTCATATGGACTGTTTGGTTTAATTTTTGCTGTATTTCCACCAGTGATCTTCATAATCTACTCATATATTAGAATATTTGAAGTCTGTTTAAAGAATTCAAAAGATTTCAGAAGAAAAGCTCTGCAGACCTGCTTCCCACACCTTATTATTTTCATCAGCTTCACTTTTACCTCCTGCTTTGAAGTGATTAACACTAGATATGAAGGCAATGTACCTCAGATCTTTTCTCTGATAGTGTCAGTTGAAAATTTGGCAATTCCTCCTCTTATTAATCCTATTATGTATGGTTTGAAATTGCAAGAGATTTTCAATAGAATCAAGAAAATGATGTGGAAAAGAAGAACATCTTTTTAAATGTTTTTCTTAAAACCCTTACATGGCTATTTTTTTATAGTTTTTTTTTTTGTAGTTTTGTATACATAGAAAAACTAGCAGAATATATACATTGCTCATTAAAAAAGAAAAATATACCATCTAATGTGCATAGTTGGTTCCTTACTAAACTTAATTTGTATTTAATAGGAAAGCTGTGCAAATTTAACCGTCTAAAATAAAGAAAGCCGGTCCACTTTGATCCTATAACTATAAACACAGAAACCCATGTTTCAGCCATTCTTTACAGCTGGAAAGTACAACCTGCTAGTTATCATATACATAATCTATATGAATTCATATAATTCAATTTTAAAAGATTCTAGATTTTTTTAAATAATGATTTTGTTTTTGAGCTTTTGAACATTACACACAGGGCAGAACAGGCTGCAAAAACAGGATACCAAAAACAAATTTAAACCATAAACTGAACTATGATAGAGTAAATTTTTCATCCTTCTTCAGGATCAGAGAAGTGAGCTTGCTTTATCCAAAACAGTCAGTTTTACACAATTAGGTTTTGATTGTTTTACTGTAGACTAGTTCCATAGATACCATGCCAACAATGTCATAAATTGAATATTACAATTTGATATATATATATATATATATATATATATATATATATATATATATATATATATATATATATATGTATGTGTCTACTAACTATTGCAACTATCCAGTGCTCATTTTTGACAGCCTACTGATCTAAAATTATACAAACACCTCACCCGTATTGAGGTCTCATTAGGAATCCAAAAAAAAAAAAAACTCTGGGGCTGATTTGTTGGAAAACCTCCTTTCTTACTAAGCTATTATTTTATATACATTATTTTTTCACTTATTTAAATGTTGCTTTATGTGTACACATCTTCATAATTTGCAAGCATTCTTCGATCTCTAAAACTTTAAATTCCCCCTTACCTTAATTACAGTGGTAATGCTGTCAGACAATCAAAATAGAAAACACTTTATTTTAGCATTCAATACAATAATACTGCAGCATCTCATTAGAAAGCTGAGCTTAATGGGCCTGAACACCTCCCTCTGCAACTGGATCCTGGACTTCCTGACCTCGGTCTGTCAAGATGGGCATAACAACCTCAAGCATTATTACGCTGAATACCAGCACCACAGGGCTCTGCACTGCCCTGCTTTTCAACTGCTGACTCATGAAGGTGTTGCAAAGCAGAGCTCAAATGACATCCTGAAGTTTGGTGATGATGATGATTATAATAATAATAATAATAATAATAATAATAATACATTATACTTACATAGCAATTTTCAAGAACTCAAAGACGCTTACAGGTTTTCGAAATACAGAACAGTAAAGACAAACATGAGAACATGAAGCACAGTCATAACATCACAAGCAAAACATAGCAGGACTTGGCAAAGGGCTGGTTTAGGACTGAGAACAGTTATAAGCAATAGAAAAGAGAGATTTTAAGGTTTTAGGTTTAGATTTAAAAGTAGAGACAGAGTTGGCCTGTTGAATATGTGAGGGGAGAGAGTTCCAGAGTCGGGGAGCCAGCCTAGAGAAAGCACGATCACCGTACCCATATAGGTTGGAAGGTGGGACAGTGAGTAAACCAGCAGAGGAAGACCTGAGAGTGCGAGTTGGTTTGTAGGGAATAAGTAGATCAGAGAGGTAAGAAGGACTGAGGTTATGTAGAGCTCTGTCTGTGAGGAGAAGAATTTGGAATTGTATGCGGTATTTTACAGGAAGCCAGTGGAGATGCAGGATGGGTGTAATATGCTGATGTGCACGGGTGCGGGTGAGGAGGCGAGCAGCAGAGTTCTGTACCATCTGGAGTTTGCATAAATGGGAGGAGTTAATACCAGCAAGTAGAGAGTTACAATAGTCCAGGCAACTAGAAATGAATACATGAATAAGGGTTTCTGCAGCAAACTGAGAGAGTGACGGTCGAATTTTTGCAATGTTACAGAGATGGAAAAAAGAGGTTTTAACTACAGAGTTGATGTGTGCACTGACTGAGAGAGTTGAGTCAAAGAGAACGCCCAGATTTCGTACCAGAGGGGAAGGGGACAGAGTTACATTGTCAATGGAGAGAGAGAAAGGAGAGGTTTTAGAGAGAGTTGATTTGGATCCTATAAGAATAAGTTCTGTTTTGTCACTATTAGCATGAGAAAGTTGTGCTTCATCGATGTTTTAATTTCTGTTATGCAGTTTTTAAGCTGGGTGAGGGGTGGATTTTTAAGTGATTGAGTGCTAATGTGAATTTGTGTGTCATCCGCATAACAGTGAAAGTTCAGCTTGAAACTACGTATTATGTGGCCAAGAGGAAGCATGTACACAATAAACTAAAGAGGTCCAAGAACTGAGCCTTGAAGGACCCCCTGAGTAACCACAGACGTGTGAGAAGTATGGCCACCGAGGGTGACAAACAGGGCAGAAAAACAAGCTTTAGTTAAGGTTGTTGGAAGGGGATCAAGAGAACAAGTTGTAGTTTTAGAAGTAGTTATGGTGTTTATAATGGAACAGTGTTAAAGGTAGAGAGATTAGAGGAGGGGGGGCTGGGTCTTATAGAATGGACATTTAGAGAGAAAAGGGAAGAGGTATTATTAGTAGGGGATAGCAGAAAGCTGTTGATTCGTGCAATTTTTGATTCAAAGAAATGTAAAAATGAGTCGCAGAGTGCAGGGGAGGCAGCCACAGAGGTTTCAGGGGGTTAAAATAATTTGGTGACTGTTGAGAAAAGATGGGAGTTTGTGTTTGAATTATTAATGAGACCAGAGGCTGATTTAGCTGAATGCAGGGCATCTTTATAAGTTAAGAGGTGTTGCTTGTAAGCCTCCGCATGAACAGAGAGCTTTGTTTTCCTGAAAAGCCTTTCCAACCGGTGACCACTTTGCTTCATGGAGCGGAGTTCATTGGTATACCAGGGAGAGGAGGTGACAAAGTTAACAGTTTTAGATTTTCAAGGTGCTAGTGCATTAAGAGAGTCAGAAAGTGCAGCATTAAGCATAGTAGCATGGTCATCAGGAGAAGAGGAAGCAAAATCAGTAGGAAACACAGTAGAAATGGACTGGCTAAGAGTCAGAGGGTCGACAGACTGAATCTTACGGAATGAAATTGATCTTTTAGAAGAGCAGTGAGGCAGAGTCATAGAAGCCGTGAACAAAATAAGCTTGTGATCAGACAATGGAAACAGTGATGGGCAGAGATTAAGAACAGATACAGAAGAAGAGCAGACTAGATCAAGGGTGACCTTTGTTATCGGTAGCAAAATCTACATGTTGTACAAGCTGGAAACTTTTTTTTTTTTTTTGCAGTCTTGAGAGTCTTCATGAATATTGAAGTCACTGATTAGCAACAAGCGGGGAGAAATTGAGTAAACAAGTGTAAGTAGCTCAGACTGTTCAGAAAAGAAAGGAGGAATAGGCTTTGGAGGGCGATACAGTAGTACTGCAATTATGGAATTGGGTAATTTCAAAACAAGATTTTCAAAAGAGGTTACAGCTGTAAGGCTAAGTTCAGTAATAATGATTTTACTGTTAAAAATTACAGCCAGACCTCCTCGCCCAGAGGAACGGGGTTTACAAATGTATTGAAATTAGTGGGAGTTGCCTGGTTTAAAGCAAAAAAGTCACCAGCTTGTTGCCAGGTTTCGGTTAGGAAGAGCATGTCAATCATATTATCGAGTATGCACTCCTGCAGCAAAAGCGATTTACTAGAAAGAGAGCGGACATTCAAGAGTGCAAAAGAGGTGCCAGGTATAGTAGGAGGCAGAGCGCGTAGGTTACATAAATTGGCAGTACAACATGCAGCATGAACGACTGTACGAGATGAACTCCAGAATGAACATATATTAGTGCCTTCTGAGTAGTGGAAGGATCTATTACGATACTGTCTCGAGCCCGGTGGACATAACAACGTCGGGACAATATACCTGCTTTACAGGCAGATACAGCAGCAGCTTTAGAGAGGCAATTGGAATTATTGAACCTATGTAGCTCAGAAAGAGTACAGCACACAAATCTTGGACTAACCAGAAACAAACATAGAGAATATAAACGACTAATGGCTAAGAGCAGTGCCATGGAGGTTAACAGCTGCATTATTAAACAGGAGAGGTTTATACACAAAATTAACCAGCGAAATTAAAAGTGATTACTTAGCAAGTCATCAGCGGTGAACGCAGCTTACAGTCAGTCGAGGAGCAGAGTAACGCAACAGCGGTGAGTGCTGCCGCAGTCATCCGAGAGCAGAATGGCGCAGCGCCAGTGAGTGCCGCCGCAGTCAGGCGAGGGGCAGAGTAGTGCAGCGGCAGTGAATGCCGCCACAGTCAGCCAGGGAGCAAAGTAGACCAGTGGTGGTGAAAGCCACAGCAGTCAGCTGAGGAGCAGAGTAGCGCAGCGGCGGTGAATGCCGCCGCAGTCAGCCGAGAAGCAGAGTAGCGCAGCAGCAGTGAAGTCCACAGCAGTCAGCTCAGGAGCAGAGTAGCGCAGCGGCGGTAAAGGCCACGGCAGTCAGCTCAGGAGCAGAGTAGTGCAGCAGCGGTGAAGGCCACAGCAGTCAGCCGAGGAGCAGAGTAGCGCAGCGGCGGTGAAGGCCACAGCAGTCAGCTCAGGAGCAGAGTAGCGCAGTGGCGGTGGAGGCCACAGCAGTCAGCCGAGGAGCAGAGTAGCGCAGCAGCGGTGAAGGCCACAGCAGTCAGCTCAGGAGCAGAGTAGCGCATCGGCGGTGGAGGCCACAGCAGTCAGCTCAGGAGCAGAGTAGCGCAGCAGCGGTGGAGGGCGGAGACCACAGTCAGCCGAGGAGCAGAGTAGCGCAGTGGCAATGAATGCCGCTGCAGACAGCCGAGGAGCAGAGTAGCGCAGCGTCAGCTCAGGAGCAGAGTAGCGCAGCGGCGATGGAGGCCACAGCAGTCAGCCGAGGGGCACACAAATCCGAGGAGCAGAGTAGCGCAGGGGCAGTGAATCCCGCCACAGTCGGCCGAGGAGCAGAGTAG